CAGTTTTGAGAAATCATAAATCCTTATAAAGATCAATTGTAACTTTTTAAACTGCAAAATTTAAAATTACGGAGATGGCCGAATCTAAATCCTATGAATTGGAAGGGGTTGAATTTGTGTGTATTTTACTGAATTTGCTTTTCCCCTAACATAAGTTCAATGGATCTGAACTGGAAATTGAATCAGCTGACAGACAATGAGACTAACATTAATCAAGTTTCACAATTCAAAAGAAAACAAACACCACAAACTCGGTGCTGCTCCTAATGAAGGGGATTAGATTCCTCTTAAGCATAATAATTCAGGTTTGAGTAGCTTGTGTGAATGCAAAAATAGAAAACGCTTTTGAAGAACTATCTTTCGTTGCAACCAGATTATTAGTCAGAATCTAATGTAATTCACTAAGTAGTTTGCTACAAAAACAGAAGAAATAAAGAAGAAAACAAATACCTGGTCTCTTGCACTGGTCGGATTGAATTGAGATTTCGGATGAGTTGAAGTGTACATAGAATACCAACCTTGATGAACTTTAGGATCTCCCAAACCCTTACCACCAAACACTATAGGAGCAGGAACCAACAGAAACTGGAAATCATTAATCCACTCCAACGTTTTTATTGTTCCTCTCCAAGCAATCACAATATCTCTCCTTCCTAACACTGCTTTGCCTTCATCTGTGGCCACAGCAACGTACCCTATCCAGTTTGATTCCTTGCACCAACAATCATCTGGCAATGGCTTTACCACAAAAGCTTCAGGAACAGCGATTTGTGATGTCGCATATAGATACTTTGTTACATTATACTTGAAGGGATTCCCATTCTCCAAACCAACCCTTGCAAACAAGTTCTTCTTTGCGTACTTGCTTGCTCCTGCAAACTTGGAAGCTTTTTCTGAGATAAAAGTATCGTACGTGGCTTGTGTCATTTGTCCATAGTGAATAAGGTACCTTCGTAGATCGATGTCGAGAGGGTTTAGAAGACCCTCCCAATGGTTTTTCCCACTTAGGAGTCTCCATCTTCGAGCGATATTACTCATCTTTTGTGTGTTTCTGTGTGAATAATTATCCACCTCTTCAAATCTTGCTTTTATAGATAGCTATTTCTTCGTCATCTGAAGAATTAGTTTTTCGTTGTCTCACTTTTGCATCTTTGAATTCATCAACCATTTTCAATTTCTTTTGGGTGTGGTTCTTACCAATGATAATATAAAACTAGTGTTTGTTGTCTAGTTCTTATCGTTTTGTGATAAATTATATAGGTTTCGTAAACAATAATAATACTTCCCGCACATGATATATATCGGTTGTGGAATGTTCTTGACAGCAAATTGAACATTTATTTTAACACATTATTAATGCTAATTAACACTTCATATGACTATATTTAAGCAATTCTTATGACAACCAGACATTTTAAAAGTTGACTACTGGTAATATTTTTAAAGCAATGATCACAATTAACAATTTAAGTTAATTAATTGCTTTAATTTCCTTGTCATTTGGTTAAAAAAATTGCTGTCCTTGTCTTGATACAAAGGAACAATATAATTGGAAAGAAAATTAACATATTCTTCGAGAGTATATTATCTGTTTAGACGAAGCATACCTCTTTTTTTTTTTCAGTGGATCTCGATCTGTACTATAATTTTTTTGGAAAAAAAAAAAAAGATATTAGTCAGCGAAGTCTGATCATCGTATCCCATATTTTACATGTTTGAAGGGACGTTTGCCGAGACCGAAACCGTGGTTCTTCTCAGGAAACAGAAACAACATAATATATATTGGTTATGACAACTATACTCCAAACAAGTTATTAATACATAAATATAAATTAGGAAATTGGAAGAGTATATAAGATGTAACCTCGGGGATGTCTGTATTGAAAAGGATGTTTTATTAGCCAATGAGAAATTTATCCAGAGTGTTTGGACATAAAAGGGGAAAATAATGCAAGGTTGACGTACGGTGACAAAGGAAGCAATATAATGTTTACCTTGTTAAGTTAGTTATTTATAATAAATAGATGTTGTCTCTCCTAAAATACCTTTGCTAATTATGTGCATTAACTAAAACTATCATTTGATAAAATCTTTGATATGTGCAACTATTTCAAGGATTATTTTAAAAAAATAAATAAATATGAAAAATAAAGCAGATTTAGATGTTATATTTATGACCAAATTGAAAGTTTAAAAAAAGTAAAATAAATAATAAAAAAAAGTAAACATTTTAGTAGTAAAGGCTTTAGGAAATTTCGAGAATTGATATTTCGGGGAATCTTTTAACAGGATGCATGTTAACAGAAACACACAACTTATTACAGTAATAATACTTCAGTATTTTGAAAATATCTTTTTGTACCATTGCTATACACGTCTTTAATTTGTACATTAAAAACCCTATTACTATATATGTCTCTAACACAATGACGATCGAATCCATCACTTTTAAAACTATACAAGCCAAAATGCCAGTCGACAAAAGAATCGTTAGAAGTTATCCACATCAAACTCATATATTGGTTAGATACCATTTGAATCACAGAATATCCTTATTCATAAATGTTTCAAATACCCTCTTTCTTTTCTTTTTCTTTTTTTCCCCTTTCAAGGCCATTTGGCTGGCCTAGGGTACATGGACATCCAATAAAAAAAGGATCCAATTGCTTTGTTTAACAAATGACGAGTACCACGGTGAGCGTTGACACGTAAGACTGACTAGGACCACTCACCAAACTTCTGTCTATCGTTTTATGCATCTTAATTTTTTTTCTTTTTCAATGAGAATAATTTGAATTTAATTTTCTCTGATCTTGAACAAATACCTTCCCCATTTATGTGTTTTAGTATTTTATTTTATTTTATTTTGAATAATATCTGAATTATATTAGAATCTTTTAGATATTTCAATTACCAAGTCTAGGTTAGGGTCTCATTCTGTCTATTTAGTTATTTATTTAACTAAGGGTTACATGGTGTTTTTTCTCTCAATATTCTCTCAAGAACAATGGGAATCCTAAATTATCAAATAGTGGAATATCTTACATAAAATATTAGAAAGGGTGCTATGTTATACCCGGTTAAACATCCATTGTTTTGAGTGTTAGCTGACCAGGAGAACAGACTCCAAAATTACACATAAGTATCGTATAAGGAAGTGAATGCCAATTAAGTCTTAAAAATTACAGATAAATGCTAAAAGTTGTTGGGTGATTATCAACGATATTACCCTATAAGAAATAACATTATTAGTCCCTACATTTTTAATTTTTGAGACTTAATTGATACTACCTTCGCTTCTTAATATGAGAGCTAGTTTGACTCTCAATTTAATCATAAATATAAGACCCCAATACATTTTGTCTCTATCATTTATCAATTTTGTCCTCAAGTAATTCTTATAATAATTGCATATGTTAAGGAATTACTATCAATGAGTAATTCAAACACATGATTAATAATGATGTTTAAAGAAAAGCAACATTTATTTACTCTAAATAACAAACCTAACTTCCTCAATTTTCTCAAATTAGTCAATTAGGTCTTATATTAAAGACCAGAGATAGTGTTAATTTTTCTAGAGTACTTATCTGTAATTTTTTGGGGCTTTGTCCATAATTTTTTTCATCAATTAATTAACAGTCAAAATATTATTTAGGAAGGGACAATATTGCTCCCTTTTTAATATTTCAAAAGCAAAAGTGCACCTCTTGACAGTTTATGATACTAAGCACCCTATGTTATCAGAGCAAGTGATTTTTAACTATACGTAGTGAGATTCAATAATATGTATCCATTTCGACTTATTTTTATTTGCTTATATTGTTACATGATCATATCATACTTACAAAATTTCTCTTATATTGTGATGCTTCACGTCCTATCATTTTTCATGAAATATTTTCAATTTTAGAATCATACAAACATTTTTTAAAAAAAAAACAAGTGGCAGACATATGTTGATCATTGATGGTGAGGAATTTTGTTTTAAAAGACAAGTATGTGTATATTTTTAAAGGTTTTTTTTTTTTGGCCTACATATAATTTTGGGAAAATCACAATAAAAAGACCTTAAAAATATAAAAATTGGAAATAGAGACCCATTATATGATAAAAATTGATAAGCAAATAACAAAAAATTTTGGGAACACTGAACAGGTCTTTGTATGTAACTTTTCAATTTTTGAAATCTTTTTTTTGCAATTTTTCCTATATTTTTGAAGAAACAAAACTTTTGGGCTTCCAAAAAAGTTCGTGATGCAATAAAACCCAAACCCATATTAGAAGCACAACTTCAGCCCACAAAGCTCACATATTGGGCTCCTTGATTAGCTTAAAATTGACAATCCTGCAAATTAGATACAAATTCACTTTATATATTCATTGTGGGCACTAAAATTCCTAAAAAGTTCACCGTGTGAGGGGATTAGTTATTATTACTGATGGTAGATAATCTGGCTCAATTAAAAAAAAAAAAAATACTTCATATATTATGGAGCGCCAGTTTCACAACAGAGCCGATTAGCTAACAAACAAGAAAGAACGAGTGCGATGGTGAGTCTCTTTCATTTCTGTCATGAACCATCCCAGAGAAAGTGGTCCAACAAGTCTTTAATCACTATGTCCAATATGGATCCCTTTTTCGATCATGCGTGCTTTCTTCTATTTTTCTTATTATTATTTTTTTTCATTATTTTCCAAAAATAATCCGAAAAAGAGAGTGAAAGTCTAGAGAGGCTTACTTTTAAAATCTAAAGTTCGGCCATGATCACAAGTATATATCTATCTCTCTAAATTTTTTTAAAAAAATGAAAACATTAGTATAAGTCTCAAGAAAATAATATAATCAGCAAAAAATTCCTGATAAATGAGTAGCATTGTGACACAAAAGGTATTTGCTTCAAGAAATTTATTTAAAAAATAAAGAAAAAGAGAAATAAGGGGCATCGAAAGGGCTGGCCAAGCTGAGCTCATATTCTTCAACCTTGGCCACACATAGCTTCCCAATAACACACTACTAGTATTATTAATGTAAATTATTGTACATGAATTGTGCAACAATGGACAGTACAGTTCAACATCATTCTGTGACTAATTGACCATTAGCCTACAATTTTACAACATATCAAATCAATTCACCCATTTCTAGTATATCCACCCTCCAATCAATGAGAGAAAAGAAAAAACTTAACAACAAGTTCAATCTAATTTTCAAGTATATCTTTATACCAACAAGTTCTTCAACTAAATTGTAACACGTGGAGAGATTTTTTTTTTTTTCCCTTGTAAGGAATCCCCATTGCATTACCCCGCAACATCCACATGTTACAATTTCATTAAAACAATTTGACGGTAAATTCATATAGTGAAAGCTTTGCTTAAAATGTTGTCAAAGTGATGGGAGACCTAATTTCCCTCTCATAATGGAATAAGGATGATCCATGAAGAGAGAATAAGGAAGAAAATAATAAGACCTATCTTGTATCCTTCTCTATCTTTCTCCGAAGGCATTGGTACGTGATCGGTAGTTCACATAGTGAGGGCAGCGTAGAGGAGTTGGTTCCATGTGTCGGGAAGGCCCGGCAAGCACCAGTGGCTACAATCATTGCCGGAGTGGTCGGTGCCGTAGACGGAAGGATGAGCATCCTTCCGGAGCTGGGAGAGAAGAGTGATGTCAAGAAGAGAAACAGGAGTCCTCATGTTCTTCAACACACTATTCACTATTGTAGCTGCTGGCGGCAGACCTGCTGGATATGATGACCCTGCTAATGGCTCTAGTTGTCCACTACAACTCTTCTTTGGTTCATTCCACTCCTTCCCTCTATTTTTTTTTCAAATCACAATTAGCAAGAACAATTGTCTTAGTTGACCCCTAATGATTGGAAGATTAAAATAGGGAAATGGTAAGAGGATAAACTTACTGATAATGGGTAGGAGAAATGCCTTGGAAGAAGACTTTAGTTTTGGTGGGATCAACATTAAGATCGACCCATTTGGCCCATGTGGTCAATCCCCTTAAGTATGCCTGAAAACGATCCATGTTCTTCACCAGCTTTGGACCATCTCTTATGTAATCCCATCTGTTCAATACAATACAATCAATCCCGGCTCTTAGATTTCTCACAAATTGACACCAAGATCAGTAAATCACCATTAATCACCCACAAGTCTCATTAACTATTGCTTGTATATACTGGGGTCTTGCTGTATTTTTTTTAAACTAAATATGGATTGGGAAAACTAAAACATATTTAAATGCAGCTTGTTTTAATAAATGAACAGGAATTAAAAATAATGTTCGAACTGGTACACCATATGCTCATGTTGTGTATGCTCATGTTAAACACTATTCTCATAACACAAGGCTGGTATGTTTTGTTTTTAATTTCACAAAATTCCTTTTGTCAAAAATCGGTTTAGTAAAAATTAGTTGTGATGAATTTTATGTTTAAAGTTTTTCTTGAAATAGAAAATTTAATAAATTGAAAATTATTTGAAAGAATTTCACACCAGCTTTTATTATTGAAAATTAATTGAAAGTTGTTCAAACTTCAAAAAACTATTTTTTGGTTAATTTTTATATGTAAAAAATATATATAATAACAATAAAAACTTTAAATACAATTATCAAAACTAGTGAAATTGACAGCCAAATTAAGACTTTTAACAACAACAACAATAAAAAAGGGAAAGGAAATTAGGGAGGAAAGAGAGAATACCCTTGGGATTTTCCAGTGTGGACCCACCAATGCCAAGAGTTGAAGATCAACACATCCATGCCCTTCCACGCGTTACCGGCCTCGATGGAATCCAGCGTCAGAACTCTCCCCACTTTTTCTTTCACTATGTCCACTAGATAAGGCGTGCGATACAGGTGTATCGTTACACCGTACTCCTGCACACACATAATCACAATCGTCCCCACTTAAAATAAATGCTAACTCAAAAGCAGAGAAAAGCACCAGACATAAGACAACTGAACGATGAACATTTAATTATGGGTCACGAGAGCTGTACTGTACAACTCACCAAAAATAAAATATAAATTTTTCATTAAAAAAAAATAAAGAGCAAAGATTATAGTTCAATGAAATGTTCACGTGGGAAGAAGTAAAAATAATAATATGCAGACATGCTTATGTTCTGCCAATCTCAATGTCACTTTTGGGTATAAATGAAGCATATATAATTAAATATGCTTGTTCATCATGATTTTGTGCATTGGATTTATTCTCAAATCCATTTTAGTTTCTGTACCTCACATTCTTCATAGCTGCATTAAATTAAAATTCCCAATTGAAATATCTTCTTAATATTTTAATTAAATGAAATTTTTAATCTCTACTTTCTTATAATATCATCTAGATCTTAATATTTTAATTAAATGAAAACCTTATCATCTAGACTTTACTTAGGTCCTTTTTTTTTTCTTTTTCTCAGTCACCTGAAATTATAAAAATCTGATTAAAAATAAGGTGAAATTATAATATTGGATGTGGGAACTTGCTGTCCTTTTATTTAACTTAATTTTGAGGTTTGTTGCCATAGCCTCAGTGCTTTTAAAAAAAAAAAATTTATTGCCCAATTTGTTAAAGGGACCCAATTCCTACTTAAACTGGAGGATCTATGTGTACTTCGGCTTCTTAAGATTTATCTCAACATCCAAACTTTAACTTGCTTTTTCCATCTCCTTGAAGGTCCCCATTGAAAAGAATATGTCCAATTTTATATTTTTATTATGTGAAAAACAGAATAGTAAAATAAAAAACAAGTCTATACTATTGAGATTAAATTTAAATAATTTTAATACTGCTTAAAAATAAGAGTGGAGACAACTTCCATCAATATTAAAAGCACAAACACAAATTTCAAGATAATAGGACCAAAAACCGCATTCTTTGTCTGAACAGGCGGGAATCTTGGTTCCCATTATTTTATACTCCCTCCGTTCCTTATTATAAAAGACAAATAATCGAAGTATGTTGATAAAAAAAACAGTTAAAATTAGTTAAGAACAATTAATGTGTAAAAAGTATAATTTTTTTTCCAAAAATGCCCTCATTAACAAGAAAAGAGAGCATGAGAGAGAACAATTCAATTATTAAAAGAAAGAGAAGTGAGAGGGAGAGAGAGTGTGAGTTGGAGATAATAAATATGAGTAAAATAGTAAATCAACACAAAAAAAGTAGAGACAACTTGTAAGTGTCTCTTATATATAGGAACATGCTATAAGCATCAAATGTCTCTTATAATAAGAAACGGAAGGAGTATTATCTTTTACTAAAATATAATAATAAAATATATGACTTAAATCCCCAGAACATTGGGGCTACAAACTAAAGCAAAATAAAAAATTTGTCTTTTTTTTCTAATTTCATGAGGAATGTAATGAATGATAATCATAATCAAAGCGCTCTGCTCTATAACATGTAGAAGTTTTATTATCTCCAACATTAATCATTATATCAATGAATAATTATATAAAATTTATACTAACAAAACATATATGAAACCTTAATTTCTACAATATTACTACTAAAAGAGTTTCACCACAACCTTTAAATGTCATTATTAATTATTAATATTAATTCATCCATTTTGAGGGTATGTGGGGGGGGCCTAAACTTGTGTGTTCTAGGGGTTTGAAGTGACATATAAGGTTTTAATTAAAATTAAAATAGAAGGATTACAAAAAAGTTAGTGGACCAAGTTGACGGGGTGATAGTGATTAAATAAAAAAGTGGGAAGTAATCATTGAAGAGAGGCTTCCGCCTGTAATTAATCACAGGTTGGCATCTTCTGCTTACAGCCTGTTCTTTGACGGCAACCAAATCACTTTGCCTTCTTTTATCTATTTTTTTAATTATCTTAATTTATTTAAATCCCACCATTATCATGCTCAAATCATTTTTAAAAAAAATTCTACCTCCGGTCATAATATAAGATCTAATTTGCTAAATCTTATAGTTAGGATCAAGGTAGTATAAAATAGAATTTAGAGTAAACTTCATATATTTACATATAACTTGAGATAAATTATATTGTTTATGACTAATGAAATATTTTCCTAAAACTTCTATGAATATATGGAATATTAATGATGATATTATTATGAAAAGATTGAGGAAAAGCCTCACGTTGAAATTTTATTAGTATGAAGACCTAAATCAAAACACTAATAATATTCTAGTGCTCATATTTAGTACTGATAGTGTCTTGAATAATATTATTTTCAGTATGAGAATGTTTATCTCTAGAGAATGCTTATGTCTAGAAAAATGTACGAATACTTTGTGTGCAAAATTTGTAAAGTAATGATGAGAAATTTCTTTTTTCAATTTTTCCTGTTTTTGTTGTTGTTATTGTTAAGATGTAAGTTTGAAGCAATCATATTTGCTTTTTTAGACGTGGACATTGATGAACAATGATGCCACTTCACATTCATGAAACCCCACCTTTCTGGATTTCTCTATAAATAATAATACAAATCAAGCCCTTAGCTAAACATATAAGCCATATGTTCATGGCTTATAAAATACTCCTTCTGTCCAGGACCTAATTGTTGAGTTGGCTTTGATCTTAAATATAAGACTTATTTTTATATTTATCAATTTTCTTTCAATTACTCTTATGGATACCCCCTTAACTATAATTAAATAGAAGAGGAAGAAGGGGTATTAAGAAAGATGATTATGGTATTCTAAGAAAGACGTGTCACATTTCTTATAATTAACTAACTTATCTAATTTTCTTAATCTAATCAAATTTGTTAAATAGATTTTATATTAAGGACCGGAGGAATATTCATTTTGGTCCAATTTCATCATCCTATATTACCTTATATGATGAGACTGTTACATTACAAGTGTTTTTTGGTATGCCCAAAGGGTTTTAATTTTGAATATTACATATCTACATTTCAACTTCTTTCTTTTCCTTCTTAATTAATGCGAGATTAACCACTAATTGCCTAGCAAGAAGAATCTTTTTCTACTAAATCAACTATTGGAAAGTAACATTACCATTATTCTTTATGCTTTACTTTCTCTTCAACAACTTCCTATGTTTGCTTTTCCCTCCAAATCCAACTCAAACCCGTTTTTTATTAAATTAGCTATATTTTAAATTTTTACTATTCATATATATATGTACACACACTAGAAGGGAGAATAATATAGAAGAATTTGACGGTTTACTCATTTATTTTAAGACTAAAAGAAGTCTAAGTAAGTTTCTACCAAACCATAGTAAAAATATGAAAAACAAATAATTATTTTGATCATAAAATAACAAAAAATGAGAGACTAAATTGAGAAACCTAATGATAGTAGCACCTATGAATGGAACAAAAGTCAAAAACAAAGAAACAAGGAGACGAATTAGGTTGCTCTTTATTCTTTTATGTGTAAATATATATATTCAGAGAAAAACAAAATACTACCTCTTGTCCAAATTAAATGTCCAAATTAAAAGATTTCGTTTCTAGATTATAAACTGAACTCTTACGATCAGGACGGGAAATAATACCATGTGATTTTTTTTTTAAGTAATAAATGAACATTTATTTGCCCCATTCACTGAGGACAGAGAAGGAGGAGAAGAAGAAACAAAGAGGGGGGGAAAAGAAAGAAAGAAAGAAAGAAAAGCGAGGTAAGAGAGAGAAAAAGCAAAACCTGGAATATCGCAGTGGAGAGTGATTGTTTCCTGAGAAAATCTGTCTTCGAATTGGGCACCGCCGCGTGAATCATACACGCCAACGATTCCCACATATTCAAACTCAGTGAATCTCCCACAAACATTACCTTCTTCCCTCTCCATCTGTTCAACAAATCCTTCCCATCGAACCTGTAATCTCATCCATATCAGTCTCACACATCACAGAACAGAGCCAAAACTCTCTCTCTCTGTGTTTTGTTCAGAAGAAGAAGAAGAAGAAGTTTAGTTACCTGGGTAAGGAACAAGAATCAGGTTTCCAGGAGTATCTGAGATACTGCTTATCAGGTCTTCTAGCACAGTTAAATTCAGCATCAATGAAGGGACAGCTTGAAGCTCCATAGAGAGGATAAGAAGGGTCAATGACCCAATTTCCTAAGAAAATATTACAGCCACTTGTTTGTTTTCTTGCTCTCAATTCACTCACATTATGAAACCTAACCGCAACAACTTGTTGCAGATAAAACAGAGAGGCCACCGCCAGAAACAGAGCAAGCTCAGGTCTGAAACAGAGACGACCCATTTTGGAATTTCGAACGTAAACACTTGTTTGGGTCTGTACTTTGTAGGGTCCTATATATAGAGAAAGGATTCAGTGAAAATGGAGAGAGTCGGCCACGTTAAAAATATTCTTTTTTTTTTTTTGGTACTGTGATTTTACTTAATATAAAAAAGATGATGCACATGAGAGAGGGGTTGAGGGGAGGGGAGGGGCGGGGGGGGAGGTAGAAGAACAGAACACTACTTGGTGGGATCACGTGTGGTGGGTACTACTACTAACAGGAGAGGACATACATGGGTTTTTGATATTTTCAAGAGAAAAGAAATATTTTCTGACATGATGATCTTGGATGATCTTGGAGGGATTGTTTCGTGCTGTGGTTGGAAACTTGGAATCTGTGGGCATATTGTGTTTTTTGGAGAAGAAAAGAAATGGGACAGATAAGACTGGAGTAATTTAATCATAATTAAAAATAATATTTTTATATAATTATGAGAAGAGAAATATCTAGGTGAAAAAGCATTAATTTCCAAGTAAATGGAGTATTTATGTCTAAATTATAAATAATCAAACAAATTAGAATGACTAAAATATAAAACTTGAAATTTGAAAAAGGGTTCTGCGTTCTGTTCTGTCGGCCTCCCTGCGTGTCACGGGACTACATTCATCTGTACATTAGTTTTTCACATGCTTGCATTTTGTCCCTACAATTTGATATTTCAATTACTTTCTAATATTTTAGTTTACACGTGGGGTATCTGTGGAGCGACTATGTTTTTTTTTCCCCACATCTATCATGATCTTTCTTCTTCTTCTTCTTTTTTACAAAAATATAAATTTTTTTGGCAGTCAAAAACATCAAAAATTTACTCTTGCACGTTTTCCTAAATATAAGATACTAGTTAATGTTATTTGTAAAATGGAGAATGTCATTAAGCTTAAAATCTCTAAATTTCAAATCTTTAGTAAATTTTGATATTATTACACTTACAAATGATAAGATATTTTCTTAGGAATTCTTTATTTGCGATTTGGTAATTTTTAAACTTCTTTTTATAGGATTTTTTTTTTATAAAATCTTGCTAATGAATGAATAAAAAGACTTAATTCACATTGAAATAAAGTTGGAAAAAAGTAATCAACATTAACTAAGGACAAAAGAGAAAAAGCTGAAAAAGAATTAGACATAAATTAGTTAAAATATTTGTATTAGGACAAAACTTTAGTCAAGTTGATTTTATGTATTAGGTCAAGTTTAGATGTGAATTTACTAGTGCATGTATGTGCATTTTAATAGCTAATAATAATAAAATAATTAAGTGCTCAAATTTCACAAGAGAATTTAGAAGTACACATGCGTGTTTTAGCAACTAATCCTAACAAAATAACAAATATTTGTATAAAAATTTACAAATCCTAATTCGCACTATAAGAGCTAGCAAAAAAAATTTACAAGTGTAGATATACATAACAATAGCAAAATAACAAGTGCGATAAGAGAAATTGAGCTAATGAATATAATTAACTTGATATAAGTTTTATTCTTTTTATTAATATGTATAAATTAGGTAATTTTAATCTTATAAAAAAATTAAAGGAGTTATATGTATTTATTATGATAAGGTTGTTGGCAAAAAAAATTATGGTATGGTAATTAAAGAATGTAATTTTCTGGGGAGATTATCAGACATGTACGTAATAGCATGTGATGCTTTGATGATGAAATCAGCTAAACAAACCAATCAACCTAATCAAGTTTTAATGAATAACGGTTCTGAAAGACCACTCAACAATAGTGTATTAGGTCAAACTAATAAAATGATGACATGCGTAGAATTGAAAATTTAGGTATCCCATAATGGTCAGTATTTCTTAATTGTTTGTACAATAATTATGCTTTTATACTTTGAAATTGAGTCAATAAAATCATTGGCTAGTTCAAGATTGGTTGATTGGATTGTAATATGATTAAATCAAATGTACTTTTTATTTTTATATAAAACAAATTAATATACTTTTTTATTTGTTGTTATTGTTTCTGAATGATTCTTAATTAGTTTTTATCAATTCTCATCCTTTACAATATAGAAGTCATTTGTTTTATTGACTACTCTGAATTATTTATCAATTATCCTTTTAAAGAAATTTTTTTGAAAAATGGCTAAATTATACAAAATTTATGAACTTTATGTCATATATAAATGATCTCCCTAGCCTTTTAACATTTGCAATAAACATTCCTGAATTTTCACCTTTAAATAGATAACTCTCATGCTATATTAGTTTTGTTCATTATTTGTAAATGACTTAAAGTTTAAGGGGTTCCTTTGTATGTAACTCAAAATTGGATGGAGTAGTTATATATGCGTGTGTATGCATATGTATACAAAAATAAAGTTTTATGGGGTATATAATTAATCAGTTTGAGATTATATGCATAAATGCAAAAGTTCAGAGATTTATAATAAAATTTCAAAGATTATGAAAGTAATAATTTACCCGTTCAAAAAAAAAATCTGTATAATTTAGTGAAAAAAAATTGTCTTAGTTGATCCTAATTTGATTATGGTATTTATTTTGTGTATTTTTTTTCCTGGAAACATCACGTGTCAATTTCTTCCCCATAAATGTTAATATCATGGTCTGAGTAGTTAATGAGGAAATGAAGACAGGGTACTTAATTCCTTCCCAAATTTTGGTACAACCCAATAATCGTCGACATTAAAATTAAAATCACCAGTAAAAGAGAAGTCAAATTATATGTTCCGTGGCGTATTGTCTCACTTAATATAAATTATGAAGTGTGAACAAAACTGAAAAAAAGAATATAGACTCCATAAAAAGTTAAATCAGATTGGTGGGGTTAAAGCCAAAAGGACAAAGAAGGTTGGTGATGATATATTGTCAGTTTCCAATATCATCAATTATCATTATCCACTTGTTCTTCTCATCGGCACCGCCGTGAGCCACCAGTGGACAAGGCGGTTGGGTGTCGGTGACCAGACGGGGAGACTTGGGAGCAAAGTGACAAACCAGGCTGTTCCACTAAGCCCCAAAGCTGGAACTTTCTTTTATCAGTTTATTATTGTATGATCGCTCATTAGTCATTATTCGACGCAGAAACCCACTTATGGCTACCGTAAAGGAGCAACCTCTGATCGGTCTCCACGGGGCCCTCCCTCCCATTGTTTTCTTCAACTTGTCCTTGTTTCCACCACTCTTTAGTTATGTGGCGTAAAACTAACGGAAAAAAAAGAGTTAAACCATTTAACCAACAAAAATAAATTTCCTTAGGATATCCTCTCTCGTTCTATTATTATAAAATCTAATTTTTTAAATAGGTTTGTCCCTTTTATAAGATTCTCTTTGAAGTTTTTCTAAGCATTTAATGCAGTATTGTCTATTGTACTTCTAATTTAATATATTAATACATTCTCTTTCTTCATTTATCTCACTATTACTCTCTCACATTTATCTATTTATATATAAGGGTATATTTGAAAAAAACAAATTATATTTGCTATATATTAATTGCTTTTAACTAATTTTAACTATTTTCTTAAATTACGCAATTTAATTAAAAGGATCTTATAATAAGGAACGGAGTAGTACTACTTTTAGTTCTAAATATAAATCTTATACTTAGAATGGAAGGTAGTACTATATTTAACGGTTAAAGTGTAATTTTGATCATAATTTTATTTCTCAAATGCAATTTTACCCCTAATTTTTTATGGTATAATTTGTTCCTGATCTTATTTTTTAGATACAATTTTGACTTGATCTGTTTTTGTGATTTTGTTCTTGATCCTTGGTATAATTTTGATTCTGAGAGGCAAAATTGCATCCAAAAAAATTAGGGTCAAAGTTGCTCCAGTGAAAAAATCAGAGGTAAAATTGCACAGAATAAGATAATAGTCAAAATCATATCTTTACCCTATATGTAACCATTCCCTAATTTTTGTGACTGTGCTTCAATTTTAAAATCTCATTTTAAGCTTTTTTTGGTGTTTTGATGATATTTTCTTCTTTTTCAATCACTTGTCTTATCATTTATTGTAATTGCATTTAATTTTAAAATTTTAGAATGTTCTACTATTAATTTTTAGGATTAGGTTAAGATCAATAAATAATGCCTTAGCACATTTTGCTTTGTATATCTTTAATGATATTGAATAAGAATTGCATGGCAGCCTCTGAATTTATCTCCTCATTGAATCCCACGAGCTCTTTTTCTCCTCTTTCCCCCTCCTCCCTTTCCCCCCTCTCCCTTTCCCCTTCCTTGTTGTACATCAAAGAGCCACATCTATTTGAGCTTTGATATTATATACTTACTTTTTTTTTCCGAACATAAGAACTAAACAATTGATTTATAAAAATTAAAAAATTATATAAATTAATTATTTGTAATAAATATTTATTGCTTTATCTAAAATATCTCTTGAAGTATCTGCATTACAAATGATGCTCATAAATGAAAATCCCATAGGTACAATAAATAAAATTATTTTAAAAAATTATAAATTTGTGAGATAAAATGAATTACAATTTTATATCTAATATCAACGCAAATATTTCAACTCACTTTTACGTTTAGGACCGAAAAAAGTAGTTATTATAGGAGACTTCTCCGATGATTAAAACAAGCTTCATGTTTAATTTAGAGGGAAAACTTGGTATTTCACAAGTTATGATGATGATAACATGAATGTGATGGACGTTGTTTCCCTTGTAATTAGTTAAAGATCAATTATTCCAATTAACCCTTTTGATTAGGTAAATTAGTTAGGTTATAAAATAACTATGAAAACAATCATTTGTTTATGAATGATCTAATTATGTAAAAATATTGAGTAACCACGACAAAGTACACATATATCTTTCCATGGCACAGGAGCTCGTTGCAGGTGAAGAATTAATGGCAGTAATTTTCAATTATCTTAGTACTTATGACAACTAACTGATTGTCACCGTCCTGGACAAAAACATGAAAACCTAATGATACTTTACATAAAATATATTTTAAACGTCACTAGTCATAATTAAACTTCTTTCTGTCAAACTTC